ACTCCACTACACCAGCCACTTTAATGGGGTCCATCTCAGCCATTCCATGTGAGATGATTAATCCTAGGTACTCTACCTTACTCTGCTCAAATTCACATTTCTCAGGCTTTAAATAGAGCTGGTGTTGGCAGAAGCATTCCAAAACAATCCATGTGACCCTGCAATGCCCCTCCAAGGTTTTAGTGTAGATGAGGATATTATTGAGATACACACAAACAATACCTTCCACAATCAGGTCACAGAAGATGTCATTCATCATACTCTGGAAAGTGGCTGGGGCTGTTTGTGAGGCCAAAGAACATCACCAGAGGTTCAAAGAGTCCACAATTGGTTTGGAATGCTGCCTTCCACTCATCTCCCTCTTTGATGCCCACATTGTTGTAGCCCCAACAGATGTCCAACTTGGTGAAGTAGTGTGCACCTCAAAGGTTGTTGACAAGTCCTGAGATGAGTGGGAGAGGATAGTGATTCTTCACTGTCATTGCATTGAAGGCTCAATAGTTCTGAAACAGACAGAGAGACCCATCCTTCTTCTTAATGAAAAAGACTGGGGAGGCCATTGGGGACTTAGAAGGTCATATCCATCCAGAGCTAAGATTCTCCTGTAGGAATGCATTCAGCTCATCCTGCTCATGGAGCACAAGAGGATAGACTTTGCAGCTGGAGGGTTCTGCATTTGGTATCAGCTCAATTGCATGATCCCACTGCTTATGCTCTGGGAGTGAGTCAAAGGATGCCTTGGAGAATACATCCTCAAAATTGTGGAGGTAATCAGGAACCTTGCTATAAAAGGGCTTAGGCTGGGAGTTTGCTGCAAATGCCTTGGCCAGATGCTGAGAAGTGGTATGACTGGCCCAGATCTCTGCCACTATAGGAGGGGGGCAGAGGGTTGTAGCATAGATCCTATCACCTACCTCAATGGTTTCATCTGGAGACTCTGGGTCTGGAGTGCTGATGGATTCTCCTTTGCCTTCCTCTTCCTCTTGAGGTTCACACCCAACACCTCAGACATTTTTATAGAGGGCCTCTCTAGGAGGGAATGCCAAAGGGGGGAGATTCAGGAGGTTAAGATCAGCATAAGGGAGATGCCCCACACAACAGGCATGCATGGCAGCATGCCCACAAACCTTTGTTCTATGATCCTTACAGGCTTCTTCAGCACAGGTTGTGCAACAACAAGGGCAGTGGCTCATCTTCATCTTGCCCTTTGTCCAGTCAATCTTGAAGTTGTGTTCATGTAGCCAGGTGAACCCAAGATCATGTCTTGCTTCTCCAGACTAGTGACAGCAAAAGTGGCTCACTTGGAGTGGTCTTGGTAATGGAGGACTAGGTCCACCACCAAGCAAATAGAGCCAGCTTCATTGAGTGTGCCATCAACATTGTACAGAGGAATAGAATGAGCTAGGAGGCAAGTGGTGAGACAGTGTTGTTGCACAAAGTCTGTGTTGAGAATGAGGCCTGTTGCACCACTGTCAAGCAAGGCAACCACACTTTGGGTCTGCTGGGTGTCTGTTGTCTCAATTTCTACTTGTAGCTTCAGAGAGTTGGCAGAAGAAGTGGAAGCAACAATGTAATAATGAGGGAGATGGCATTCCCAAGCAGGAATCTGGAGGTGTGAGTTAAGAGGTGTGTTTCCAGCAGAGACTTTAGCTGGGGAGGGGGTTTTGTATCTCTGAGGAGGGGCTTATCACTTTGGGCATAGTATCAAAAGCAGCAGCAGATATATTTGATTCTATGGATAGGGGAGCAAAACAATTAGTGCTAGGCAATAGTGGCATACAGTTCATCAGTTGCCCTTTTAAAAATCCTCCTCTAACTCTGCAGGAACCTCCTCCAATACATTGGCCACCTCATTGGAGTGAATGGCTATAGGTGCATCAGGAGAGAGAGTTCCTGTTGCATTGCTTACTGCTAGGAGTTTACAAAGCAGCTCTTCTTGCTCTGATGCAGATAGGTAGCAGACTTCTAGCCTTTGTAGAGGATTGCTGTTGGGAGGCATCAACATCCAATGTACTTGTCCAGTGACCACTTCCCTTGATCACACTGGGTTTGGTCTCTTGGTCTTGAAGGGAGAGAGCTGTGGTCTTGGTGGGGTCAAGGGGAAATAACTCAGCTTGGAACTCCTTTTCAAACTCCAATCAGCCAGAAAAACTCTCAACTCCTCCTGAGCATCAAAAAATGCACAGTGCATAAGTCAAGGCTTACAGAAAACAACTCCAGGCATCATCCTGGGGGCTCAAAGCATCAGGGGGAGGTGCTGGAGGGGTTGGTTGGGTCATGAGAGGAGCACAGGGGGCACTAAGACACTGGCGGGGGAGAGACCTTTTAAGGAACCAAGTAGAACTCAGGCAATCAAAAAGGGGGCTCCCAGACCAAATCTAGAGACTTGTTCTGCTGTAAGGGTGACCTTTGGAGACTGTGGCTCAATCACACAACCAGCAAAGGGAGATCCAAAGTCTATTCAGCATAGTACAATGTCTACAAGCATGACTACACACCTGGTAAAGGGAGATCCAAGGAGAACAAGTCTGAGGATTTCTAATGCTAGTGTTCAGAAAATTGACTCAAGTCACATGACCAAGGCACATGCAGTGCTGTGGTCATGCACATGACAACCCCAGTCACATGACCAAGACATGTGCAGCACTGCAGTTGTGCACATACCAACCCAATCATATGATTGGGAGTCTGGCCACAGTAGTCCCTGACAGTTCTAGACCCAAGGGCCAGACTCCACATGATGAGGCTCATGATCCAGAAGTCTTGTGTTTGCTAAAATTCCATGCAAAGGCTACATTGTTTCAGACCTTGGGGCTAGACCCCAGGTGATAAGTATTGTGACTTGTGCATGGTCATGTGCAATACAGTCAGATGCTGTCCAATCAGAAATGCTGAAAAATGGTGCTCAGCAACAATTGGGTTCTTATTCACTGTGGGAGGTAATCTGTCACCTGTGCTAGAAAGATCATGTAGAGTTTCATGAACTTTACCAGGTTGGTTGGGATGATTCCTTCACCCAGCAACTGCTTGATCACTATGTGCTTAGCTACTCCTGCAACTAAGCATTGCTGTGTTGAAGCCTTAGGGACCTCAACCTGACTTTACCAGAATACCAACACCCTCCTGTGGATGATGTCATCTGGATGCACTTCACTGTTTGTATCCAAGGTGTCTTCAACATCTTCTGGGATTGTCTTGATGAATGCTGATGGTTCTGCTGTGTGCAAGCTCAGCATAGCCCCAGCTCATGATTGTACAGTGCTGCATGCCCTGTGAGGTGCATCTTCATCACTCCTCAGTGGTGTAATCACTATAGAGAAGTCATGCTGACCTCCCACGGGCTCTGGAAAGGATCTCAACCCTTCCACTTGCAGTGCTGTAAGTGCATACAAGGGGGTTTTCCCTTTGTGAGCTGCCAACACTGTACTCTTTAGATCTACTGTTGGGCACAACCAAGTAGAGGGGACTTGAATACCTTCCCCTATGATGCTTGTTAGACTACCCAGGGGTAGTCAAATGCGAGTAGCTGCTGGCAGCCCTTCTGGCATCACCCCACACTCTCTCCTCATGTCATGGTGTGACATGGCAGGATCCAACATTTCATGTGGAGCACTCTGCAATGCTCCATCAAACTCTGGTTCTGACCTAGGCCCAAAGACCTGACCTTTCATGGTCACCACTGTGCCCATTGCAGAAGGTGAATGTTAAAATTTTAATGTTCTGATCGTTTGTAACTAGTGGCAGTGAACTTCTTTTTAAGAAGTTTGGCTTTTGCTTTGCAAATGAGTAAACACTTATTTGACTTAATAAAATGTAATGTTTCCATTATGGTTTGCACAGCTTACATTTTACACTCCATAAGTCAAAACCAGCTGGTTGATTATCTCCATGAAGTATGAAGTAATGTGCTGCCTTACATAATTACAATAATAGTATTTTATAAGTAGCATCATGTGACACTACCATTTAATAATGATAGATTAATTATTATACAGTTATGAATAGGAGAGGTAACAGGCACTCCATTATAGTGAGCTCACATTATGCTTGTGGATGGCTGATTAGACTTATAACTTTATTCAATATATTTGATGTATAGGTTGTGTGTAGTTGTGTGCTTCTTAGTGCTTGTAACATTGCATGCTCTATTATTTTTTTCAGAGTTTCTGTCTGATTTTCTAACACAAGCACTAAATATTTTGAAAATGCCTCAAGTGTCTCATCCCTGCCCAGCAAAGGGACACTTGCCTCCCAGGGCTAAATTTCTATTGCATTGCATGCACAAATCTTGCAGAGACTCTATTTCTTCTTTTTGCTTTTTCTTTCCATATCATCTGAATCTGCTGCTATAAATGCTCTATGTATTTTTTTTGGCTATTTCACACTAACTATGCTAAACAGAGCTCACCCTTGATTTTGTCATCACTTGCCTACTTAATGAGGAGAGTCACCATAATCTTGGCCAACCAACCTTCAGAAGCTATGGTCACATCAAAGAGAAGAGGGCTAGTATTAGTATTATTTGCTTTTGGTGTGGAGGAACTCATCATTACACTTTCTGAGAGCTCAGAGAAAAGCATCTCACTCAAGTAAGTGCAAAAACACTTTGCTAGCATTGTTATCCTTCCAGATGATGAAAATAATATCACTCTTAAGATTCAGCAGAAGCATTGCACACATTTTGCTTGAGGAGAAATTTTGAAGATAAGTGAGCTTATGTGATGCTTCTAGTGGCTGATCAGACTTATACCTTTATTTAACACAACTGATAGATAGATTGTGTGTAGCTATGCACTCCTTATCACTTGTAACATTGTATGCTCTGCTTCTTCTTAAAGTCTGTCTGATTTCTTAACAATGATATTCTGTGCTTTTGCACATGAAAAAACTGTTGAATGACCAGCTGCATTACTGGTACAACTTATCATTATTCAACAACCAAGTAAGCACCACTAGTGCAATGATATTCCAGAAAAATTAGAATCCACTTGTAAAAGCTTTGGACACTGTGGGAGTTGAACCCACAACCTCACGCAAATCTGAAGAATACATTGATGTGAAGCGTGCGCGCTACCAACCGTATCAAGTGCCCGTAGATAAGACTGTTGAAGTATCTAACGACACATTTCTTGATCGATAATGAAGCGGTTTCATTCGTTGACATTTACTCTCTTATTAGAGTTGCTGTGATGGTGCTGTGCCATCATATGCATTCCTCCCTCGATTGTTGCAAGGGCACTTGGCACAGTTGGTAGCGCGCACGCTTCGCATCTGGACGTTGTTCTCCAATCTGCGTGAGGTCGTGGGTTCAATTCCCACAGTGTCCAAAGCTAGTGCAAGCCTAGTTAATTTTTCTACAATATCATGTTTTGGCATTGCCTTTGCATTGACAATTTTGAAGTTTCGTTATAAATATGCACGTGGCCGTTCGTCATTCACTACCTCACGTGGCCGTATTTGCACTTATTAGCATATACAATGGACACGTATGTGTAACGCCGAGGATTCAGCTGGCAGGCCAGGCAATTCTCCGCTTCTCAGTTTGCTCTACCACCTGGGACCTCTCTTCTCCTTCTCCCTCTGGCTTCACGCTGTCCCTTCATCATCACGGCGGCTAGCAATGTCGTCGGAAGACTCTGACACTTCTATCCTGGACAAACTCGACTCCGTCGTCCCAGCGCCCCTAGCCCAGTTCGATGCATTTCCAAAGATCCCCTCGACGTATAAGTCCCGGTCAGAGTCGCGCGGGTTCATGACTATCTTTGTGGCGCTGTTGGCATTGTTGCTCATGCTCAATGATATTGCGGAGTATATCTGGGGCTGGCCTGATACGGAATTTAGCGTCGATAATAATAAGCAGTCTTATATGGGTATCAATATCGACATTGTGATTGGTATGCCTTGTCAATGTAAGTAAAGAATTGTTGATAGTTGGAGAGGTATCTGATCGTATCTTAGATCTTAATGTGGATCTAAGAGACGCGGTCGGAGACCGTCTGATGCTCACGGGCACTGTACGCAGGGATGGGGTATGTACCCATGTGCCAACACCTTACTTGGTTATTCAGCGCCAACCTAGGCTGTTTTTGATACGAACCAAGCGTACAAATTCACCTCCCATTCGAAGGCACTTTCGGTCCAAGAGGCTGTCTCTCAGTCAAAAAAATCACGCGGCTTTTTTGCTTGGTTACGGAGAGCAAAGACAGGGTTTCAACCGACGTATACACACGAAAGTTCTGGAGATGCATGTAGAGTATGGGGAACGCTTATCGTTAAAAGAGTCACCGGTGATTACTTCCTTTTCTGGTCGTTCAATTGTTCGATGACTCATTTTTTACGAGCTAACTTGCACATAACCACCCTTGGTCATGGATATGCGAGCTATGAGCATGTCGATCATAGTAGTCAGTACTTTTTTTTTTTGCCAATTGCAAACTATATCGAAACTGATTCGAACGCAGAAATGAATCTCTCCCATATCATCAAAGAATTTTCTTTTGGGCCTCATTTTCCTGACATCGTCCAGCCTTTGGACTATTCATATGAAGTAACTCATGATCGTACGTCTTCCCCCTCTTCCGTTGGCCCCTACAGCTAATCTTCTTTTCAGCTTTCATCGCATACCAGTATTTCTTGCACGTCGTCCCTACCACCTACATTGCCCCTCGTTCTCGGCCCCTCAACACGAATCAATACAGTGTAACGCACTACACCCGCGTTATGCAGCACAACCACGGCACTCCCGGTATCTTTTTCAAATTCGATCTCGACCCCCTTAGCATAACAATTCACCAACGTACGCCTTCTTTAATCCAGCTCATCATTCGGTGCGTTGGTGTCATAGGCGGAATCTTTGTCTGCATGGGCTACGCGATTCGCATCACCACACGTGCGGTCGAAGTCGTATCTGGCGCCGATGCCGCACCGGGCATAGTCGCTGCTGAAGCTACAGGTGTGAAAGTCGGTTTACGGGCGAAATGGGGCGGGTCGGAGCTCCGCGCGAGGGGAAAGATGGTTAGACAGGGAACAGGATGGGTGTTGGAAGGCGCAGGGGACACACTCTTGCACTCACGCTCGCCTTCGTATGCGAATGCATCCTACACCGGCACGCCCACTCTAAATGGGTTCCCTAGTCCCGCTTCTGCTTCCGGGCCGCCCCCTTCGACATCGGCATCCCCCGCGTTCAATGTCTCGCCTACACCCTCGAATATTCCAATCCCGCCTACACCTCAAAGCGGAGCGTTCCAAAGCCAAAATTCATCCATGTTCGGACCTGGACCTGGCCAGGCTCCCGCGAACGGCATGCGTCCTGCGGCGACGTGGACGCCTGCGCCTGGGTCGAGGCATACGCATACGCGTACGCCGTCTGTTGCTGTGTCTGCGTCTGCTCCGATTGTGAGCGGCAATGTACCGAGCACGCCTGGGTATGCGGCGTTCCCGCCAACGCCTGGATTCAGTGCGAATGGGAATGGAGGTGGCAACGGGCCTACGCCGGTTGCGCCGCCGCCGAAGAGGATGGGCGGGGGACCGAAAAAGGATGATTAATCTTGAGTTGAGGGTGAGGATGAGGGGATAAATTGTATGTATGTGTTATTGTAAGTATGTACAATGGTGTATTGGCACGGTTAAAGTGACTTCTTTTGGTCTAGATTTTTTTGTTTGTGAAGATGTACATCCTAAAGAATCTACGTTAGGTTTGATTTTGGTCGAAGGCACTCGTGTCTCGTTCACCGCGTCCTCAGTCAACCTCATACATGTACAGACGTAGCGCCTGCGATCCAAGATGCGTGGAAATGTCGGGTTCAAGGTCTTTCTGACCTGATCCAACTTTCGTTTCACGAGGAGCTGGATTTCTATGATGTTGACTAGTCTCGATGCCTTGCCATTTTTCGTCGTCTTACATGTTTGATATCATCAGCAGCAATGAAAGATAGTCCACCATTATTTTTGTCATCTTCACGGTCTCACGTAAACCGATCGCCGAATTCAGCTTCAACAATTCTCCTTTACATTGGATTTGTGACCCTCATAACGAGTTAAAACGTTCGTGATTGATATATCAGTGGTATATAACCAGAACGGACTCGATAGTACAAACCAGAGGAAATCTGCTGTGTAATTGGGGTAGTAGCCAACGCCTCTTCACTAAAAGTTTCTTTGAGTCTGAAAAGTTCTCGAGCGCCGGATTTCCCTCCCGAGGAACCGGAAGACTCAAGCTAAGTACTGGGGACTGTAAGGCTAGGAGATAGGTAGAATGAAGTATTGAATAGTGGTGGGTGGGTGACCAAAAGACGCGTAACGTAGATGTAGCGAGTACGTGCGCTGCGAGCGCAGTGTGAGACGATGAGTTGTTCGGATTACGTTCGCAGGTATAGATGTCCTATGGAACAATGAGAAGGAGACAGTGATATTAATTCGATGCGATCGAGTTGTGAGGCCAGAGTGGTAGGGTGAGTTATGGGTAGAAGATTAAGGAATGATCGTGTAACTGGGAAAAGGCGGATCCGAAGTTCGGTCGTGTGTTTTGCAAAAAGAAAATGGTATTTGTTTGAGTCCGAAAAGTTCTCGAGCGCCAGATTTCCCTCCCGAGAGAGAGAGGAACCGGAAGACTCAAGCCATAGCAGTGAAGTCCTGTAGAGCCGGAGGGCCGAAAGGAACTAGGTGAGTGTGTGCCAAGTGAAGGAGGAAAGAAACATACAAGATCCGCGTAGGCTCGTTCTTGATATACAGCTTGTATGAGTTGCTGCGCCACTGACTGAGGAGCTGGATCTCGTAGTCCAAGTAGCCCGCCAATGCTGCGCCCCGTCTAAAGCTGTGTCCCGCGTAGCATTCTGGGCTGAGTCCTGCAAGGGACAGTGCGTCCCGGATGGCCTTGACAAAGTAGCCATAAGGCATAGCTCCACCATCGGCCTGCTCAAAGAGTGGGGTGTCGTCCGTGCATGGGAGCTCGCAGAACAGGCATTTGAGGGCGACGATAGGGCAGGTGGGGAGGCCGGGCACAGCTGCAATGATGATTGTAACCCCTTTTTGAAAGGGGTCAGTCTTGGAAGCTGGCAGGGTGACATGTGCATGGGTGGCTGTTGCAAAGTCGGGGATGAATTTGATGGACTTGCGTAAGAGGTTAAGGCTGGGGCTTTAATTTCCTCCCTTCCCCATGGTGAATTTGCCACTGTGGAGAAGTGCTGAGTAGGTGAGACAGCATGCGGCATAAATGGTGCTGTGGCCTGCAGTGGTGCCAGGGTGGAGTTGAGTAAGGCCATGAGAACAGGGAGGGTGATGGGCTGGATGGGGCATTGGCTGGGCTTGCTGTGGTAGTGCTTAATGCCATGGATGAGCCACTGAACCAGCGGAGATTCAATTGCAGTGAAAGGGAGCTTGCTGTTGATGTGGAAGGATCAAACTGCTGACAAGCACACTATCAGGGGACTTCACATGTCTGGAGTATCATTTGTTTCCTTTATTCCCAGCCAGCCTCACTCTCAGACTCCCATCTTTGGTCACAAGTACTCTCAATCCAGGGCTACCCAGCAGTACCACCCTGGTAGTGTCATGTGATCTGTGGCTCGAGATCAAAGCTATTTACAATGGAGTTCTTGTTTCAGGTCACATGACTTTCATAATGGCTTTGATGATGACATTGAGCTCTGTGCATGTGCAAAATCTGACATCATCTTTCTCATGGTATTTCCCATGGTTGATTTCTGTAAATTTGCAGTGTTTCCATGAATTTTCTTCTGCCAGGTATGTAGTTAGTTTCTGCTGTGCCACTATTATGAGAAAACTTTGTATTTTCCTCTGCCAGTTGTGTGACTGAGCCACAGCCTCCAGAGGTCACCCTTACAGCAGAACAAGTCTCTAGATTCAGTCTTGGAGCCCCCTTTTCAATTGCTTGAGTTTCTATTTGGTTCCTCAAAATGTCTCTCCCCCACCAGTGTCTTAGTGCCCTCTGTGCTTCTCTTATGACCCAACCAACCTCTCTAGCACCTCCCCCTGATGCTTCAAGCCTGCAGGACAATGCCTGGGGTCATTTTCTGTCCCTGGAGACACAGGTTCAACTTACCCAAGCTTTCCTTACCTCTTATACTGCCAAACTTACTGAGCTCCATCAAACCACCAAAGCAGTGTCCCTTATCCTCCAGGCCCTCCTGAGATGCCTCCTCATGGACCTCAGCATGGCAGTAGGATTTTCTTCTGCATCTAGCTCAGAGTTTTTAGCATCCTGCTCCAAACTTCCTTGCTCTGCACTCCTTGATGTATTTGATGGGGACCATAGAGTTGGGGAATGTTTTCTCCAGTCTTGCATCACCTATATCCAGTTGAGCAGTGA